GAGGAGTTGTGGGACTGGCTACTTTATTTGGGGTGGTCAGAGAAGAATTTTCTAGGAGGTAATATTTGAGCTAAGGCCTGAATAATGAGATATGGGTAGACTCGTAAATATTTGGGAGAAGAGTTCCAATTTAAAAGAACAGCAAATGCAAAGACTGTCACAGCCTGCTTGAGGGTCAGAAAGAAGGCTGAAGTGATTGGAGCACAGCGGATAAAGGAAGAGAATAGTAGGAGCTGAGACCAGGGAGGTAGGCAGGGGCCAGTTCATGCAGGGCCAGCTGATATCCCAATAAAGATGATGATGATAATGATAATAATAATAATAATAATAATAATAACAACAACAACAACAACAACAATAACAATAATAATAATAATGACAGCGGCTAACATTTATTACACTCTGGCACTATGCAAACCACTTTCTGTGGATTAGTTTCTTTACTTATCTCATTTAGTCCATGAGTTGTGTGCTATTTCCAGTGGTCACCCAGCCAATGGTATGTGCTAGAGCTTGGGCATGAGCCCCCCAGGGTCTGACCCCCAAACAATTCCTAGCTGGTTCTCAAATATTTTACTCTATTATTATACCCAGATAATACATGGCCTTAGATACTTTGTTGTGCACATATAAAATAAAGCGCACCCAATATCATCACCCAACTTTAAGTGTAGAAGGCACTAAGGAAGGGAAAAGTCTTTAAAAGTCTGTATAAGAGTGGCAAGAAGTGCCTGGGAATATAGCAGCTGTGTGGCTGCTTTGTCTACAAATGTTTCCCTTCTTTTATCTAACCTCAACCCTCACCATGCCCACCTCTACCTGATATGGTGCCTTCACCCTTACATCTCTTTAGGACACACTTCCTAGAGAGGAGGCACTGAAGAAAGGTGAGAAACATGCTGGTAGAACATCAAAAGTCCATGCTCGAGATTTATGCCTGACTTGTTCACACTGGAGGGTTGTTGAAGATAATCATTTAGTTCTTTGAGCTTTCGTTTTCTCATCTATAAAAGAAGATTGGCCCTACACAAGGAAAAGTAACAGTAGGCGAAGGTAACTTAGGAGCCCCCAGGGGGTGCCATAAACTTGGTTCTTTAAAAGAAATCATAATGTTTACTTGCTGAACTAGAGCTCATTGAAAGTTGCAGTGTGGCTAACGTGGTAGGCAGAATAATTGCACCCAAAGATGTCCTTATCCCAATTCTGGGAACCTATGAATGTTACCTTACATAGCAAAAGGGGCTTTGCAGATGTGATTAAATTGAAGATTTTGAGATGGGGAGATTATCCTGGATCATCTAGGTGGGTCAAATGTTATCATAGGGATCCTTACAAGAAGGAGGCAGAAAAGTTAGTATCAGAGTGATTTGATGTGAGAAGTACTCAACCTACTGTTGCTGGCTTTGAAGATAGAGGAAGTAGCCATGAGCCAGAGTGCGGGCAGCCTCTAAAATCACTGGAAAAGAAAGAGAATGGATTCTGCCCTCAGAGTCTCCGAAAGGAACCACCCCTGCTGACACCGCGACTTCAGTTCAGTTAGAACAATTTTGGACTTTTGAACTCCGTAGCAGTAAGATAATACATTAGTATTGTTTTGGGCCACTAAGTTTGTGGTAGTTTCTTGTGACAACAATAGGAAACTCATACAGTTGGCCTGACTTCGACAATGCATGCTAATGTTAACTCTCCATCATAAAATCTCCTAACTAAAACTCTACAGAAAATTTCCTGTTTGTGCCTCATGACGTGGTTTCTTAAATTTGTGAGCAGTGTATTGCATTAATTCATTCAGACATTGTAGAGACTCTCTCTCACACACACACACACTCACACAAACACACACACTCACCTCTCTTATCTTGATTTCTTCTGCAATATCAGGTTGTCACTTCCTATCTCACGGGACACTGTTCTGCGAAGGAAAAAAATTATCAAAATCAAAAACAAAATCCACCTGTATGCAAAAGTCTTGGAGTCCTATTTAGAGAAATGTGCCATATATCAGCACCATATCTGTTCTGTGAGGGCTGTGACATAATAAGATGACCACTCTTCTCTTTAATACATGACTGAAATTCTGTGAAAGTACAAAATATTCTTTGGTTTCCAGAAACACATGCCGTATATACTAATGGATCTTACAATGCTCATTCATTGACTAAATACAATGGGAGCTGTGAGAACTTTAAAGGTGGAGTTGTAGTCTCCTAGGTTTGGGAGGGATCTTAAAGATCATTCAACTCCACATGTCATCAGAGCAAACATTTAAAAAATGGGATATGGAGAGGATCAGTTCTTCATTAAATTAAATTGTATTCTATCTGGGTCCCTGTAAGTCCTCACATGCTCCTAAAAGAAACATAGAAAGGTTGTCCTTTCCTGGCACTACTCTAAAGAAGTGACAAATAGACCTCTTGGTCTATCCCTGTAAGAGGAGCTGGGCTGCCCAACTTCCGAGGCTGGGAACATGTTCCATTTCCCATTAGCTTGAGCTATGCCAGCATTTATTGAAGCTCTGAAGCTGCTATTGCTACAGAAGCCAACCAAGCAGATGAGATGTTGATATTCTTAATAATTTGAAACAAGTTATCTACATCAAATGAAGATTTTGGGAGAAATACACACTGTAGATTTCCTTCTAACCTAACGCTGAGTAACAGATCCTGCAGTTTAAGGTACCGCAACAAAATTCTTTTTCAGGTTTTTATTTATTTATTTTGTGTGTGTGTGTTTAGAAGAGTAACAGTCATGGGGATTTTCTTAAGATGTGAAACTTTGTTTTCAAGGTAAATAATTGACTAAATTGCCTTCATAAGTTTAAAAAAATCTTTTAAAAGGCCAATCTTGAAAGACTCATATAATTTTCCCTTCTCTCATAACATAACCTCAAATTATGAAATTCCATTTAAAGTTCTCTTTTCTTTGAAATCAATGAGAAGCAGGAAAGTGAAACTAAAACATTGGGGTAATTATGGAGCTTTTTCTAAGAGTGCAAAAAATCTGTATATATAAAATTTTTAAGTATTATAAATGTTTCAGTAGATTTTTTTTTTTTTTTTGGAAAGTTCAACGAAAAGAAAATTTACTTAAGCCTTAAATCAAAATGCTCTCTGTATTTGCTTTGCTCTTCTTGGTTCTCTATAATCAAAATGCAGTAGGCATAAGTTGTTGTTGTTGTTGTCTTGTGTGTGTGTGTGTGTGTGTCTGTGAATTTCTGCCTTGTAAATCAATGATATTGGTGACATTTCTTATTTTTTGTATCAGGTTGCTTAATGAAAATACCATATATTTTAAGGGTTTGTAGCATGTTGAGAAAACAACGATTACTTAGATGCTAAATAACAATGTCTGCCCAATCCAGAGTTTTCTGCCAAATCCAGGAGTTTTAAAAAGACTTTTTAAAGTTGTCAAGGTGCATTAAACTTGGAATTAAAAGGTCACTAAAAGGTTCCACGACACTGAGATTTTCAATTAAGTGTAATTCACTTCTGGAAGACGTGTGGGTGGAAAAAGATAACAGTTCTGATTATCTGTATGGATATTCTTAGGAAATGATACAAGAGTGTTTGAGGGGGAAGGCCCTTTAAGATTAGAAATAACAACATAATGGTCACAGACACATTTATATAGAGCCTTCATGATGTATTAAATATTTTAAATTACTTGCCACTACTGAAAAACCAGGATTGTAATCTAGATTTCCTGCTTCTCTTGAAGATCTAGGTTCCCAGGGCAGCATTTCCTCATGGTGATAGCTAGCAGAAGTTGTTAGTGGGTATTCTCTTTAGGTAAGGTGCAAGCTTGCCATCTCACCAGTCTCCCTGGGCCAGCTTCACTGATTTGTATTTCCTACCTGACCCATGGGCTTGTGTGTTTGTGAACCTGGCTTGGTGTATGAAGAAATCTGGTCATTGCTTCTCTGGAAGTTCGGGAACACTCATTTCTGCTGATGGCTCCCTTGATTAGGAACCCTCAATCTTCCACATCCGGGTGAGAATTGTCTTGTCCTGAAAGCCTCTTGGGGAAATTCCAGGAGTATTTTAGTGAGACTGAAAGAGTTGAGAGGCCTCCTTGGTACATAGGAGGTACATAGGTACTACTCGACAAAACTGTGAGTAGGTCCTAGTCTTCAGAAGTCTTATCCTCCCTCATTTTCAAGTCAAGACTGGCCATTAGACAAATTTTGAAGTAGGTAAAGTTAATTTTCAGTATCCTCACTTTCTCCTTTTCTCTCCCTAGAGAAACTCATCCTTAACCAATCAGATGCCAACAAGGCCCTACATGATTTGTCCCCTGTCTATCTTCCCATCTTTATTTGCTACTTCTCTCTCCCTCTTTCAATGTGCTCTAGCCACTCTGACACTTTTGCTATTTCCGAACAGGCCAAGTAGGCTCCTATCTGAAGGCCTTTGCTCCTGCTATTCCCCAAAGCTAGAAAGCTTTTCTCATAAGCAGGAATATGGCTGGCTTCCTCACTCCACTTAGGCCACTACTCAAATTTCACTTTTCCAGAGTAACATTTCCTGACAATTGACAAAAATAGCCCATTCTCCCATCATAGCCTATCATTCTCTACTCCCTCATCCTGCATTATTCTCATATCCCTTATCACCAATCTAACACTCTAAATGAAATCCTCACTTTGCATGGTAGTGGGGGACTATAAAAATGGCCATGCAAGCTGAAACCATACAAGGTATTCTTAATAATAACTGGGGAAAATTATGATTGCTCCATGAATGACCATTAAATTTTTTGTCAAAACATTAAAAACTCTCCTATTGTTGATTATAAATGTATAGGGAAAAAACTTATAAAACAAATATTTATTTACTACTCTGTAATTTAAAACATTAGGAATACCGAAAGTAAAATGTTTCATTTCTTTATAGAAAATATCAATTAAGTAGACATTTCTCAAAAGAAGATATACAGATCACCAGAAGGTACATGAAAAGATGCTTAACATCACTAATCATTAAGGAAATGCAAATCAAAACACAATGAGATGCCACTTCAAATCCATTAGGATGGCTATTATTAAAGAAAAAAAAAAACAGAAAAGAACAAGTGTTGTTAAAGATGTTGAGAAATTGGACCCCTTATGTATTGCCAGTGAGATATAAAATGGTGCAGCCACAATGGCAGACAGTATGGAAGTTCTTGAAATAATTAAACATAGAATTATCCTATAATCCAACAATTCCACTTGCACTTTTAGGTATATACCCAGAAGAATTAAAAGCAGGGACTTGAACAGATATTTGCACTCGAATATTCATGGAAGCACTTTTCATAATAGCCAAAAGGTGGAAACAACTCAAATGGGATAAACAAAATATGGTATATACATACAACAAAATATCATTCAACCTTAAAAAGGAAGTAAATTCTGACACATGCTATGACAGGAATGAATCTTAAAGACATTATGCTAACTAGACACAAATAAGCTAGACACAAAAGGACAAATATTGTATGATTTCACTTACATGAGTTATCTAGAATAGTCAAGTTCATAGAGACAGAAAGTAGAATAGTAGTTACCAGGGGTTAGGAGTAAGAGAGGTGGGGAGTTTGTGTTTAAGGGGTACAGAGTTTCAGTGTGGGATGATGAAAAAAGTTCTGGAGGTGGATGGTGGTGATGGTTGCACAACAGTGTCGATATACTTACTGACACTTAACTGTACACTTAAAATGCTTTAAATAGTAAATTTTATGTTATGTGTATTTTGCCACATTAATAAAAACTTATAAAGAGGAGTTTGAGCAATGTTTGCCTCTTTGTTCTCATTGTGAACTTTACAACATAGAGAGAACATTATTTATATTCCTTGGTGAAAATTCATACTCCTTTCTAAATTTAGATCAGCTTCCAACATTTTCCCCTTTGTGTTTTCAATGTCATGAAAAATCTCTGAGAGTTTTTTTAATGTGAAGTTGTTCACTGGCATGGCTTCCACTGGGACATCTTCATCCTTTTCATCAAAAGCTACAATCACTGTTTTCATTTAAGCCCATAAATTTGCCTTCACTAAGTTCCTCTGGCTGCAAAGCTAGAGCCTTTCAAACAGCTGCAGTGTGTCCACATTCCCAGTCAGATACTTCTTCTATATCTCCATTTACCTGTGATTAGAAACTTGTAAAGTTACTTACAAAGTGCAATAAAAGTTCCTGACATGCCGTGTGCATACTACTTGATGGATGCTTGAATATTTTCAATTGTATGTCTTATTTCTTTTAAAATGCAGCTGAAGAAATTGCATGACATTCTCTCTCTGTGTCTCTCTCTAGCTGTAGCATCAATAGCCCATCTGTAAGTCCATCTAATAGGCTTTAAAAGTTGAAATAACTTCATGATCCATTGGATGGACTAATGAAATTGTGTTTGGTAGTAAAAAGTAAATTTTCACATCTCCATTCAAGAGAATCAGGGTGACCTGGAGCATTACCTAACAGTAGTAGAGCTCTAAAAGTTAAATAATCTTGCCTGCAGTATCTCCCTGTCACTGGGAGACAAGGAGGTAACACAACAACACGCTTTGCTGTTCTTGTGTGAACTGAACAACAGATAAGCAGTGACCAGTCACTGACTGACTTTGAAAAGAAGGAATGTAATTGGTCACTAACCATAACATGCATTTCGTCATTTACATAGTGATTTGTGTACTGGAGAACTAGCAGTGAAATTTGTACTTGATGCAATTACTCATAATTAATATATATGGTGGTGACTGAAATTTGAACTGTGCTATTTGTGGGACTGTTGTTAACTAAATGATGATAACTGAAATTCATGTATATCATAACAGTGTAAAGTGAG